GGTGCAGGTGGAGATGAGACCCCAGCCGAAGGAGAGAAAGCTACCCAGTTATGCGGTTTGAAGGCTTTCCAGCCGATTGTGTCCATTGGGACAAGATATCTGTTGTTATTGATTCCATGGAATTAGTATAAAAGGGTGAACGGAGAGCCGGGGGATACCAAGAAAATGACCATCACCTACAGGAAATGTAAAACACTGTCGCCAGCCAAGTGTACCTCCGCCCAGACAAATCGATATCCTCCCCCAGGCCGGAAATGCGTGCATTGCCCAGATTACTTCTGTCCAGGATGCTCAGGCTGTACAGGACGAATATCAACGGCAAGAGATTCCAGTCCAACTTGCGTATTACTACTTTTTCCTCCTCCTCTGTGAAGGTGAATTGCGGGTTTCTTTCTGTCAAGCCCTGATCATCATCGATTTGTTTGGATGGTACACTGCTTTCCATGATATTGTTTGAAACCATCTGGGATGGTGTTTTGTCCATTGATATAACACTTCCAGGTATCTGCTCTGTTCTTGCTCCTTCACCTCTTCGTCTGCCTTTCGAAAAAAGAATGCTCGAAAACAAATAAAGAAATAGAAAAGAGAAATAGAAAAGAGAAGCGAAGAGAAGAAAAGAAATAAAGAAATAAAGAAAAAAGAAAGAAAGAAAAAAAAAAACAAAAAAGAAACTGAAACTGAAAACTCCTTCCTCTTTCTTTGTGGAGGTGACTGCCAATGACACTTAGTTATATGGTTGTAAGGAGGAGAATAGGAGGATATTTAATGGAATGACGAAGCAGACACCTCCCGTCTTGAATAGAACATGGCGCCTCTATCACTTATATGGGGCAAAAGAGGCAGAAGAAAAAATTATCAAATCAATGTTAACTTATTTCAAACCCCACTCAGTTATGAAAGCGGAAAATTGATAAACAGTCTGAAATTGTCTCTATAAATATTCAAATACTTTCCCCGGACTTCATTGTGCATGGAACTGGCTTGGATTGCATCCATACAGGGGAGAATCAAGTATAAGAATAGAAACAGATACATCGTGCAAAAATGGAAGACATGTAATTGGAACATCCATTGCCCATAGTCGTCATGGGAGGTATTCTGTGCACCCTTCATTTGCACCCCACATCCTTACATCCTACACACCCTCGCACCCTCACACACATATTGCACGCACACATGCAACACACGCAGACACGCAGACACATACAAGGACGCTAAGATATATATAGAAGGTATGAAACCATGGGATACGCAAAGCTTGCCAAAACATACCCCCAAAAAATGGAGTTATCACATCGTGATGGGGAATACCTGGAACGGATATAATGTGTACCCGATACCACAATGCCGAGATATACGCCATGAACGATGCGGCCAAGGGGGAATGTTTGTTTCATGGGGTAGGCTCTTTTTCCTTTGGGCAAAAATCGGTCGTATCGGGCCGGCGGCGGGCGGCCATCAGGGGTGGCGCTCTAGTTACATGTACCAGCTGACCGGTTGACAACTACCAGAGAGAGAGGGGCTGTGAACAACCTAAAAAGCTTAAGCTTGGGTCTAGCTAATTTGAGTTCTTGGGGTAATTGGGTTTTCTAAAGTTTCACGTTGGTCGTAGAAACAAAACGGGGCCCTATAGTTCACGGCGGTAACCAACTCCCCCCCCCCCCCCCCTCCCTCCCGGGGGAATCTGCCAAAAGAGCCACTAAAAAACTTTTTTGGTTCTCACGAAATATGCCCTCTCTCGCTTCAA